AGAAGAAAATGTTTTCGTTTCATGATTGTAGTGCGCTTATCGGCAGGCTCCAGCAGGACAAACAGCCTTGCCGGTTCCCAGTTCCTGGAGTGGCCAGCAACTCCCAGTGGCTAGTCGATTGTCCTGGCACTGTCCTAGGGTATAATATAAGCAAAGTGCCTCCACCTCCTACAGCTTTTGCAGTTTCTCCAACCCCCAGATGTGGCCGCTTCCGTGCTTTCACAGTCTTGGAGTGGAGTGCCTTTGTTATAACACCTCCCCACAGAGTGCTTTCCCTAGCATCCTAGAGGGCAGATTTCCAGCAAGTTCCACTTGCATGACACCACAGTGACTTTTCTGCCACCCGGTGAACCACAGGCTGTGTTCTCCTCAACAAGGTCTGGATTTGAGCCTTGGCAGAATGGGGTGCTGTCTTGTCTTTGGGGACCCTACTCTCAGGCTCAGTCCTGGAGGCAGGGCCTGCTCCCATGCCTTTATTCATGCACTTCTTACCAACCAATTCTTTGTTACTTCAATCCCCTGTTGTAGAATTTCCCTGTCCAAATGACTGTGCAGTTTCCTTCTCTTAATTGGGCCCAAGTTGATATACTAAGTTTTTAAAAAGTTTTTTTTCATTACAGTTGATGTTCAGTATTATATTAGTTTCAGATGTATAGCATACTGGTTAGACTTTTATGTAACTTACAAAGTGATCCCCCAATAAGACTTGTACCCACCTAACACTATACACAGTTTTTCTCTATACAGTTTTTATAATATTATTGACAATATTCCCTATGCTGCACTTTACATCCCTGTGACTACTCTGTAACTACCAGTTTGTACTTCTTAATCCCCTCCTCTTTTTCACCCAGCCTCTCAACCCCCTTCCATCTGGCAACCGCCAGTTTGTCCTCTGTATCTGAGTTTGTTTCTGTTTTGTTTGTTCATTTCTTTGTTTTTCAGATTCCACATGTAAGTGAAATCATATAGTATTTGTCTATCTCTGTCTGATTTATCTCACTTAACATAATATCCCCTAGGTTCATTCATGTTGTCACAAATGGTAAGATTTCATTCTTTTTATGGCTAAGTAATATTCCATTGTATATATGTGCCAAAATTGCTTTATCCATACATCTTTTGATTGGAGCATTTAACCCATTTACATTTAAAGTAATTATTGATAGGTCTGTTAGTTATTTCCTTTTGTTTATTGTCCTCTGATTGATTTTGTAGTTGTCTGTTCTTATCCTGATGCTCTCTTCTCTTGTATGTTGACTTTCTGTAGTGTTGTGTTTGGATTCCATGCTCTTTATTTCTTGTAGCTTTCTTGTAGATTTTTGGTTACCATGTTTTCACACTTAACTTCAAACACATTCCAAAATCACTACCTTTTTTACTCACCTCCTCCACATTTATATTTTTGTCATAATTTTTTACTTCTTTTGTGTGTGTTAGTGTGTATCCCTCAATTTACTGTTGTAATTACACACAATCTTCCTACTTTTGCCTCTTAACCTTTGTACTAATACTAGCTTTAGTGTTGGTTGATCCACTGCTTTATATAATGTTTGTCTTTGTCAGTGAGAATTTTATTCTTTGCAATATTTTCTTATTCATATTTTTAAATTCTTCTTAAAGAAGTCTCTAACATTTCTTGCAATATTGGTTCGGTGGTGACAAACAGGTTCAATTTTGTTTTTTTGTCTGGGCTCAATATGCTAAGCTTTGTCATGATTTGTGCCAGAGCAGCAAAGAGCCATTGCCTCCTCCCCATCTCATTGCCTGCTGCCAACTCTCCTGTCATTACCGCCAGCCAGTTGTTGTCATGCGCCTACCCAGAGCAAGGTCTGCCTGCAAGGCTTTGAAGCAGTCAGACATGACTCACTGCAAAATGAATAAGTTTGATAAGATTCGAGCTTTAATTTGGCAAATGCTTAATGAGAGATTTGCCTGAGAAGTGGCAAAGGCTGGCATTGCTGAAGAAGGCTCTCGGCTGCAGGAGACGGCTGAGGAGCAGCCCAGTGCAAAGGAGAGAGAAGGGCATTGTTGGTGGGGAGAAGTTTGTATCAAAAACTCAGAGGCTAGGCTAGTTCGCTCTAGTTTGGTTAGAGACAGACTTGACATGCTAGGCTGGAAGCAGGCAAGGTGACCAGATTGTGGAGGACTTTGAATACAAAGCTACATTGGTGGCTACATGATAAAAGGGGTGCAGTGACCACATCTCCAAGAACAAAACTCAACCTGTTTTGGATATAAGTACATTTATATTTGTCCTTATAGGTCATGTGACTTGGCTTTGGGGCTGAGAAAAAGTTCACTGTGACACTGGAGAACCCTTGAAGGGTTTTGAGGATGATGCAATGTGGGGTTTTAAGAGTATCCTGGAGTGTGCAAGGCTGGAGGGGATGGAGAGTGGAAGCAGGAAAATGCCCACCCAAGAGTCACGATGTAGGGAACAGGGAAGCAGCAGTGGAAGTTGCAGAACTGGGTAGATGAGAGATATTCAGAATGCCTGGTGGGATGTGGTGGGGAGGAGCCGTTGAAGGCAATGTCCCCTACTGAGCTGGTGACATGGGAACACAGGGAGCTGGTTGAGGAGTGGGCAGGGTGTTGGTGGCTTTTGACAGTCCCAGTGGGGTGATGGCAGCGTACCCAAGTATCAAGGAGGAGTGAGATGAGGGCTGATGATGCAGGTTCAGTGTGACTGCCCACGCAGAGGTGACAAGTCGGTCTTTGGGAGATGGTGACGAGAACCGTCCCTTAGCAGGAACTGGCTCTCTCTGATCAGCCCATCCTCATCAATAACCTTCCACCCACCACACCCCCACCTCCCAAGTGATGAGGTCCTAGGTCAGGGACAGATATCCACAAGTAGTTCAGCCCTAACCTGGCCCCTAAAAGCCAGCAGCACTGAGGTATTTCCCAGCTGCCACAGACTCTGGCACAGAAGGCATGGTCTACTCTCATGGGGCGTGGGCCAAGGGTTGTGAAAATCCTTGGGCAAAAAGCCCAAGACTAAATGGTTCCAATCCTATTTCTTCCCCAGACCAGTCATATGACCTTGAGCAAGTCACTTTTCTTATGTGGGCTTGTTTTCCTTCAGCAAATTGCCAGACTTGGCCTTGGACTACATACTGGTTTTCAAATCCTGCCGCTGAGGAACACTGGGGTTCTATGACTGGGTCCACACGTTCCACCTCCTCAGTCAAGTAGTAGCAGACTTGAACAGCTCCGATTCTGGGGTTTTCTCCCATAATGTTTTCTTAAGCCATTAGCAACCACTACTAGTGCTGTTGGTATGTTTGTCAGCTCGGGATCACAGATGACCCAATGAATGAACCGTGGGAAATGCAGTCAGTGGGAAAACCCGAGGAGGGGTGACCATATCGGTTTGACAGTCTCGTTTCTGGAGATGTCACGGCGTGGTTTTGTATGACACATCACTGGTTCCAGCCGCATTTCAAGGTTCTCCATAGAGGGCCTGGAACTCCCTCGTGCCTGTAACCCAAAGACACTAGAGAAACATCAGCTTGATGCCCCCCAAGGACCTTCCCTCTGCTCATCCTTCATTTTCTCAATGGTGCTTTGCTAGCTCCAGCTCCTCAGACCCAGTCTTCAGGCAGAGCGTCACAGCTTACGTTCCTTAACTCAGATAATCTCCACAGAATCCTCCGCAGAGACTCATGGGATAAGGACAATTACAATACTTTTTTTTTTTTTTTGAGGAAACAAGAGCCTAGCCTATTCGTTTATTTCTTCCATTTGAAGTACTCCTCGATGACACCCTTGGCCTGAGTTTTTTTGCCATAGTCCTTAACCACCACACGGTGCAGCCAGCCACTCTGCGGGGTTTCCCTCTCTGTTGATTTCACAGAGGCCTCCCCATTCCCCTGGCTTCTTGTCATCATCAAACTGAATTAGTTGGACTTGGTGTTCAGCAAAAGGGCCTCCACCAACTTGATATATTTAGGCTCAGCACAGTTGGATGCAAGCACACAAAGGTGGGACTGGCACTTGTCTAAGGCTTTGGCAGCTTTGCAAATTCCACATGCTACGCCATCGTGGAGGAGGTGGTCTTAGGCACCTCTTGTAAAGCAGTGTGAGTGCGCATTACTCCTCCAGCAGCAATGCCTTCCTGGGCCATGGCGGTGGGTTGTGGGTGGAGCAGAACCTTGAACACACCCAAGCCTCTGCCTCTGCACAACTCTGCAGTGGCCGAGGAAAGAGGTTATATTCATTTTTACAGGTGAGGGTACTGAGGCTCCAGTAGGATCAACGGCTTGCCCAAGGTTACACAGCTAGTGACAGAGCTGGGATTTGAACCCGAGAGTCTGACTCCAGAGCTCTCACTCTTCCCCAGTACACCTGCAGTCCTCTGTCATTCAATGCTGTCACCAAGAAGTTTCAATTCTCCTTTGGACACATGGTAAGACTGATCTCCCCTATCCCCTGTGGCCCGTGAAATGTGAGCACAAGTGGTGAGTGTCACTCCTGGTGGAACTTTTAAGAGCCAGTGACCACTGCCAAGTTTCCTCTGCCTTCTCTAGGAGACGCAGAGACACAGTGGGGAGCCACCCTCAGCCTGGGTCCCTGGGAGAAGATGATGTGAGACAGGCGCTTGCCTTTCTTCCACCCCCACACATACCGGATGGACACACAGTGTGAATAAGAAATAACCTTGATCAATTTTTAGGCTGCTAAAATTTGGAAGTCATTTGTTACATAGCCTAGCCCACCCCGAGTAATCCAGTGTTATACTATCTTTTGTTGATTACCTTTGGCCTCAGTCCCCAAACTCGCTTTCTCCCTGAAGCTACCTGAAAGGCTTGGCTTCACATTGCAACTTGAACGGTGGCAGCGAGAGAAGAAGGGAGTCTGTCCCCTACACGGGCCGTGGGGGTGTGTTTTGGGGGGCGTGCCCAGCTCTCCCATGCTCTAGCACAGGGGTTATGCTGGATGAAGTCTCTCCCCAGCCCTGGAAGGCCTGAATAGACACTGCCCCTCAGGCTCCTCTCCCACACTCATTTATTGGCTCTCCTTAATTTTATTCCCCATTATTAAAGTAGGAATGACTGGTCCGGCAGGAGGAGGGCCGCACGCGCATGTCCTGGGGGTACTGCAAGCTGACTATGACCTTGCAGGCTTGGATCTGAACCTCCTCCTCGGGGTGGATGACCAGGGCGAGCAGCCGGTCTGCCAGTCGTGACTCGTCCCCGAAGAGGGCTTCGTGCAGAGACTGCTCGTTGTAATGCCATTTCACGGCGCGGTAGTGCGGTGTGTTCCGGCCCTCACTCAGCCGCTCCGCAAACACCAGGACTTCGAACAGCAGACTCCCCGGCTGTGTGGCCTGGAACAGGTTCAGGAAATTGGAGTGGACCTGTGATGGGGATGGAGCGAGGGTGGGAATGAAATCCAAGGCAAGCCCCAAGGTTCTCCCTTCATCTTCCTATTGCCTCAACTCCCTTATATACTTAAGTTTCAGATTCAGCTGCATGGGATTTTTTTAAGTTTTCTTTTCGTTATCATTCTCTAACATAACTACATTGTGGTCATAAAACATGAGTAATTTGGTAATAAGATTGATTCTAGCAAATATGTTGTGACAAACTTTAATGTGTGGTTAATTTTGATCAATATTTTGTGTGTTTGAGGGGAATGTGCACTTACCAATTACAGAATGTTCTGGGTATGTCTAATGGCTCAAGCTTATTTGAATTATTACCAGTAAGTATACCTTTAACTACTTTTAGGTTTTTATCTATTAATTGCTGGAAGAGTAGTTAAAATCTTCCAACTCTTCCACTGAGATGGTGGACATGTCCATTTTTCCTTATAATTATTCAACTGTGAGAAAGAAGGAAATCCTGCCATTTGTAACAACATGGATGGGCCTTGAAGACATGTTAAATGAAATAAGCCAGACAGGGAAAGACAAATACTACCTGGTATCACTTTTATTTTTATGTGGAATTTAAAAGAAAGAAAAGTCAAACTCATAGAAACCAGAAAAAATGGTTGTCAGGAGATGGGGGCGGGAGATATATTTAATGTAAAACATGGTGACTTTAGTGGATAATACTGTACTATATAATTGAAATATATAGTTTGCTAAGAGATTAGAACTTAAATATTTTCACGATCCCAAAATAAAGATGTGAGGTGATGGGTGTGGTAATTGACTAGATGGCGGGAATCCTTCACAATGTACACATGTATCAGATCACTGCAATGTATACTGTAAATATCTTATGATATTATCTGTTAATTATGCCTCAATAAAATGTGGAAAAAGAGAAAATTTTTTCCTTATAAGCCTATCAAGTTTTGCTATCTATATTTTGAGATTATATTATCAGGTTCATATAAGTTTAGAGTTGATTTATCCTTCTGAAAGATCAATTATTATATAGTGACCTTATCTATCCCTAATAGTGTTTTGTTATTACTAATTTTTCCCTGATATTAAAATAACTACATTAACTTCTGTTTTGTCACCTGTGTGCCTGATTCTCTGAGTTTAGAATGTCCTTCAAAGAAGATTCCCCTCCCAACAAAATTCTTTTTTATTTAGTTTTAGAGAGAGGGGAAGGGATGGATAAAGAGAGGGAGATAAATAGCAATGTGTGGTTGCCTCTCACATGTCTCCCCCCAACCAGGGACCTGGCCTGCAACCAAGGCATGTGCCCTAATTGGGAATTGAACCAGCAACTCTTTGGTTTGCAGGCCGGCACTCGGTCCACTGAGCCACACCAGCCAGGGCCCAACAAAATTGATTCTGATTCTACTGGGATAACAGAAGAGAGTGGTTTTCAATGTAGCTGGTGCAGAGGCAGGAAGAGGAACAAGACAATCCTGTCAAGGCTAAATCTGTCTGGAGAATCCACAATTCTTCCTTCCCCAGTATCTGAGTTGGTGTCCAGCAGCCCCTCATCACTTTCCTTCTCACCTGGCAGTTGAGAATATCATACAGAAGGTCATTCTTCTGTGCCAGGTAGCTCAGCAGTCGTATGGCTTGTACCTAAATAAAGGAAATAGTAAAGCATGAGAAGGCAGGTGAGTCTGGGCCTCCTCCCTCTAGATGCTGTGCCAGGGCTGGTCAGGAGGGCAGGGCCTGGGACACAGTCTTGAGGCACCTGTGCCAGGATATAGTCCGACTGAAGAATCTCCATCAAGGCAGGCATCACCCGTCGCAGCTGTGGGTGCACAAAGTCCGGCAGTGGAAGGTTGTTGAGGAGTCTGAGGCCTGCAACATGCAAGTCTGAGTCCCAGATGGTGGATATCAGTTCCAGGACCTTGATGAACTGTTCCTGGGGAGGGGGGAGAGAAAAGAAGAGTCTGCATCTATATCATGATCTCCAACACTACCCCAGCCTCTGCCTTCACACTTCCTGTCCCTGCCCATAATGCCTGAGTCGAACTCAATAGATAATTCCTTCTAACTTAAATGCCCAACACGATTTTACCTAGTTAACCATTCCTATATTCTTGAAATTCTTTCTTTACTTGGCCTCTCTTTCACAGACTTCTTTCCTGGTTCTTCTGCCCAACCCGTCTTCTCTATCTTCATCACCCCCTTAGTGATACCATCCAGGCTGAGTGTTAAGTATTATCCATATGCTAATGCCTTTCAAGTTTGTTCCAGACTTCTCCCTGAACTTGTTATATATTCAGGCGCCAATTCCACCTCTTTCCCAAAATGCTGAATAGACCTCTTAGAGTTAACACACCGCCAACCTCAAACCTGCTACTTCCACCACCTTCCCTGTCTCAGCTGTCCGTTATGCCTTCCTTCCAAAAATCTGGCCAAATAGCTATAGTCCTCCTTAACTACTTTCTTTCACACAGCCTTTTACCAGTCCTTTAGAAAATCCTTTTGGCTGTGACTTCAAAATCTATCAACAGGAGAAAGCAAAGATGGAAGCCTAGGTAAATGCAGCTCGCTTCCTCGCATAACCACTAAACATTACAACTAAACTGCAGAGCCACCATCATTCAGAACCACTAGAAATCAAGATGAATGGAAGTCCTATAACTATAGAATTAAAGAAGAAACCACATCGAGACTGGTAGGAGGGGCAGAGACGCAGAATGGGCTGGCCCCACACTCACATGTGGTGGATAAAAGTTGGGAGGGATATCTCAGGAGTGAGGGGTCCCAGTCCCACAATAGGCCCCCAGCCCAGGGTTCCAGTGCCAGGAAGATAAATTCCCATAACTTCTGGCTGTAAAAACCAGTGGGAATTTAGGTTGTGGAAGACAGCAACTGCTAGCCTCCCAGACAGTTAGGGCCCATGCATGGACTTACTCAGACTCACTCCCTCCCTCTGAGCTCCAACATTAGGGCAGCAGCTTGAAAGGCACCAGAGGCCTTTCAAAGAACTGTAGTATCTGCCATCAGGGGAAGAGCTGGGGGACAACTTCCTTCCAGACAGAACTGTTGGCAGAGGCCATTGTACTTTTTCTGAACCTGTCCCTGCACAGAGCCACTTAGCTGGCAGGAGGGTACAATATGTGAAACTCTATCAACATGGCTCACACTATTTGCCACACCCTGATGATTCCTTGAGGCTTAAATGCACCCAACATTTGGGCCCACCCAAGATGTTTCCAGTGGCTTTTCCATATGAATGATTTGTCTTGACTCATGCTTCAGATTTTCCTAAATCCTCTCAAACAAGCAGCATATGGCCTCAGCAAGCTCTATACCTCTTGCTAAGTGGACCTGGGCCCACCAGTAGCTGGCCTTGGTTCAGAGCTTGGCCTGGCTGGGGCACCTCCAAGCCTAGCACAATAGCAGCCATCTACAGATTGCTTTGTAGCTTATGCCAGGTGGCCCTGGACAGAAGGCAGACAGTAGCTGACATTGGCCTGCACCTCCTGGGAAGCTCCAGAGCCTGCATACCCAGTAGAAGCCTACAGACTACATTGAAGCTCTACCCAACCACTCCACAAGCGACACACTCAAGGGGTGAACTCAGTGGGCACCACAGCCCTGCTGAAGTAAGTCCTGCTCTGTGGAGTGGGCCCTTGCACAGTTGAGCCTCCAGAGTAGTCAGAGGTTGGTGGTCAGTAGTCACAGACAATCCTTTCAGCTGATCAGCCAAGGTAAATCACTCTCATTGACCTGTCAACACTAATCAAGGCTCAACTACAAGAGGAGGGGGTAGTCAGCCTGCATAAAAGGCACACTTCAAGTACCCAGCTTAGGTGATAAGGGAGACTGTTGCACTGGGACCTACAGGACAACTACATTAGGTCACACTTCCAAACCTGGGAGACATAGCAGTTCTACCTATTACATAGAAACAAACACATTTTGGAGGCTGCCAAAATGAGGAGACAAAGAAACATGGCCCAAATGAAAGAACAGAACAGAACTCTGGAAAAAGAAATAAACAAAATGGAGACAAACAAGCTACTAGGTGCTGAGTTCAAAACACTGGTTATAAGGATGATCAAGGAAGTCAGGGGAAGAGGAGATGGACTCAGAGAGAACTTCAACAGCATAAAAAATGATATGGAAACCATTAAAAAGAGCCAGTCAAAAATGAGGGATATACTAACTGAAATGAAGAACAGTTTACAGGGAATCAACAGTAGAGTGGATGAAGCTGAGTATCAAATCAGTGACTTGGAATATAAGAAAGCAAAAAACACCCAATCGAAATAGCCAGTGGATAGGGCTGATTTGGTGGGGAGGATAGAATTTTTGATTCTTTCTATTAGAAATAAAAAGAATCCAAAAAAATGAGGCCTCTGGGACAACCACAAGCACAGCAACATTCACATCATGGAGGTTCCAGAAGGCAAAGAGAGAGAGTAAGAAATTGAAGAACTATTTGAAAAAATAATAACAGTAAAAACCCCTAACTTGGTGAAGGAAACAGACATACAAGTCCAGGAAGCACAGAGAGTCCCAAACAAGATGAACCCAAAGAGGCCCACACCAAGACACATTGTAATTAAAATGCCAAAGGTTAAAGAGAAAAAGGGAATCTTAAAAGCAGCAAGAGAAAAGCAGTTAGTTACCTAGAAGGGAGTTCCCATAAGACTGTCAGCTGATTTTTCAAAATAAACTTTGCAGGCTAGAAGGGATTGGCAAGAAATATTCAAAGTGATGAAAAGCAAGGACATACAACCAAGATTTCTCTACCCAGCAAAGCTATCATTTAGAATCAAAGGGCAGATAAAGAGCTTCCCAGACGAGAAAAACCTAAAGGAGTTAATCATCACCAAACCATTATTATATGAAATGTTAAAGGGACTTATTTAAGAAAAAGAAGATAAAAAATATCAACAACAAAATGCCAATAAGTACATATCTATCAACAATTGAATCTAAAATACAAAATAAGCTAACAAGCAGAACAGAAACAGAATCATAGATATCAAGAAAGTTTTGATGATTGCCAGATAGGATGGGAGTCAGAAGGATGGGCAAAACAGGTTAGGGGATTAAGAAGTATAAATTGGTAGTTACAGAATAGTCATGGAGATGTAAAGTACAGCATAGGGGACAGAGTGGCCAAAGAACATATATGCATGACTCATGGACATGGACAACTGTGTGGGGATTGCCTGAGGGAGTGAGAGGGGGCTGGGTGGTGGGGGGCAAAGGGGTAAAAATTGGGACAACTGTAATAGAATAATAAATAAAGTATAACTTAAAAATACAATAAATTTTAAATATCAACAATTAAGCCACTTTTTATCACCCACCTTCTACCGCCCTGTTCCAAATCACTGTTCTCTCATCTGATTCTGCAATAGCCTCCTGTCTCCTTGCTTCCACCACTCCAACCCCATATTTGTTTTCAGAACAGACTTGTTAGACATGCCACTCATCTGTTCAAGAGTTCCTAGTTCAGCCCTGACCAGTGTGGCTCAGTTGGTCGGTCATCATCCCACAAAACCAGAGGTTGCTGGTTCAATTCCTGGTCAGGGCACATGCCTGGGTTGCAGTTCAGTCCCCAGGTGGGGCACATATGAGAGGAAACAAATTGAGGTTTCTCTCCCTCTCCTTCTCTTTTCCTTCCCCTCTCTAAAAATAAACAAAATAATTTTTCAAAAGAGTCCCTAGTTCATTGAGGTTAAAAGCTGAAGTTCTTACAGTGAATCCCAATCCAATATAATCTTCCCCTCTTCCCCCATTATTACTTTGACCTTATCTGTTCTCTCCTTTGCTTCCACGGTTCCCATCACAATGGCCTCTTAGCTATTCCTGGAATGTGCCAGGTACGCACTTATTTTGGGGTTCTTGCATTGGCTGTTCCTTCTACTTAGAACGCTCTCACTCCTTACTCATAGTTCACTCTTACCTCCTTCAGGACTTTAACGTCACCCCAGTGAGGCCTTCCCTGTCCACCTCCTCTAAAACTGCCACACCACTCCATCCCAGTCTTTCTTGTCGCCTATCTTTTTTTCTCCATGCCTCTGTCACATGTTAATACTTTTTACTTTTAAACTTTTTATTTTACAATAATTATGAATTCACAGGAAGTTGCAAAAATAGTACAGAGAGGGCTTGCATGCTTTTCACCCAGTTTCCTTCAATGGTCACATCTTCCGTATAATACAATATCGAATACTAGGCAACTGGTGTAGGTACAATATGTGTGTATAATTCTATGTCATTTTATCACACGTGTACATTCATGTAACCACCACTGCAATCAACAGATTCCACCAGAACTGTCGCATCACCACAAAGGTCCTCCTTGTGGGACCCCTTATAGTCCCACTCCTCCCCACCAGATCAGCCCTAACCACTGGCAACCACTAATCTGCCTTTGTCTTATAATTTTGATATTTGGAGAATGGTGTAGAAATGGTATCATACTTTGTGACTGTCTGAGATTTTTTTCACTCAGTATAATGCTCTTGAAATTCACCCAAGTTGTTGAATACATAAATAGTTCATTCCTTTTTATTACTGAGTAGCGTTTCAGGGTATGAACTACCAGCTTGTCAACCATTTACCTAATGAGACACATTTTGGTTGTTTCATTTTCAACTATCACAAATGAAGCTTCTATTAACAATTATATACAGGTTCTTGTGCAAATTCAAGTTTTCATTTCTTTAGGATAAATGCCCAGGATTTATCTTAAAGATAAATGCTGGTTTGTATGGTAAATGTATAGCTATACATTTTTTGTATAGTTAGATTTTTAGGAAACTGCCAAACTATTTTGCATTCCCATCAGCAATGTTTGAGAAATCCAGTTTCTCAACATGTTCACCAATATTTAGTGTTGTATTTTCATGTGCCTATTTTCTATCTGTATGTCTTCTTCAGTGAAATATCTCCATGTCCTCTGCCCATTTTCTAATTGGATTATGTATTTTAATATTGAGTTTTGAAAGCTCTTCATATAATCTAGATATGAGTCCTTTGTCAGATATGTGGTTTGCAAATATTTTCTCCCAGTATGTAGCTTATTTTTGCATCCTCTGAACAGTGTCTTTTATAAAGCAAATGCTTTTGATTTTGATAAAGTCCAATTTATATATATTTCTCTTATATTTTTGAAATGAGAAGTTACTATTTTTTAAAGATATTTATTTATTTATTCATTTATTCATTCATTCATTTATTTATTTATTTACTTATTTATAGAGAAAGGGGAAGGGGGGAAGAATGGGAAGGAGAGAAACATCAATGTGTGGTTGCCTCTCACGTGCCCCCTACTCAGTACCTGGCCCACAACCCAGGCATGTGTCCTAACTGGGAATCAAACTAGCGACCCTTTGGTTTGCAGGCCAGAGTTCAACCCATTGAACTACACTGTCCAGGGCTATACATTTATTTTATAGAACATGCTTTTTGGTGTCATTTCTACAAACTCTTCATCAAGCCCTAGGTCCTAATGAAACTACACCACCACCTCCATCCCAGCCTTCTTTACCAACCTTCTTGATTATATTTTTCTCCATAGTACTTGTACTTGTCATAGTTTACTTATTTGTGTGTTGCCTGCCTTGCCTTGCCTGCTAGAACGGAAGTTCCACTGGTACAGGGATCTTTCCTGTTCTGCTTCCTGCTACATCTCCGGTGCCTGGCACAGTGCCTTGGTGCAGTGTGCGTGCTCAGTAGACATTTGTTGAATGGATAAAGGGATCTTGGTCTCAGAGATGCAAGATGCTTGGACCTAAAGGTATTACCCAAGACAGGTAACCTCACAAGCTGTACCTTTGTGAGCCACATAAAAGGGAGACAAGAATCCTAGAGGTCCACAGCATTCCTACTAGACCCCTGCCTCTCCCTGCCCATACCCCTGGCTGTTTCCTAAGATTTGAAGGACAGTAGGAGTTAGCAAGTCTAGGAAGGGGTTTCAGGCAGAGAGAAGATCAGGTGCAAAGGTCAGGAGTGGGAGAGCGTGAAACATACAGTATAAATGGCTGGGGTTGGGGCGAGGAGGTGGAAAGCCTCAAGACCAAGCATGTAGGTGATGGAATCAGATCCCTCTGGAGAGATCTGACTTAGGGAATGGGGACAAGCTCTGTTTTGAATGTGTTGGGTTAAAGGGCTGTCTAAATGGAGCAGCTGGCCATGGGCCTGGAGGTCAGGGGGGCCCCCAAGCTGTGGACAGAGATGTAGGAGAGCACATCTAGATGAAAACTGAGGCCAGGGGGTGGCTGTCTTCACAGGAAGAGAGGAAAAACAGGGTTCAGGTCCTCAGGGTACAGACCCTGGGGAGAGAAGGAACAGTGATGCCCAGGGGCTTGTGAAAAACACAGCTCCCCTGTTGAACTGCACTCTGGGTATGGGGCCCGAAACCTTCATTTCTAACCAGCTCTCCAGGCAATTCTGATAAGCTTGAGAGTTATAGCCTTTGGGAAACTGAGAGGGCCGGGATGGAGAGGGAGCAAGGAAGTGAAGACCTAGAGACCTTCCCCCCTACAAAGAGTTTGATGTCAAAAATTAAAATGTGGAAATAGCAAGGGTAGGGAAGGAAATGATGCCACGGAAACACTCATCAGGGCTGGTGGAGGGCGCACACGGATACAACCTGTCTTGGAAAGCTGGGCACACCTTTTCACCCAGCCGTTGCACTCCTGCACACAGGCCTTCCTGGAGGAAGTCTCCCTCGTCCCTGAGTGAGATGCATATACAATGTTCATGGCACAAAATGCAAACTACTCAAATGCCTACCCGTGGGCAAATGGATAAATAAAACTGCAGTGAGAAAGAAGGAAATAGAGCTACCCACAGCAATAAGTTTGAATCTTTCAATGTTGAGGGAGAAAAGGCAAACCACACTATACAAGCTTCATATTCCCACATACAGGAAGCTTAAACATTCCAAACCATATTTCATCTGTTCATTGATTGTCTGCTTTGCCCTGCTACAATGTAAGATTATCCATGCAGACATGGTACAAACTACAAGGAAATCAAGGGAATTATGAACAAAATGTGGGGACATGACTGCCTCTGGTAGGGACCGGGGCTGTGGGTGGGGAAGGGCATCTAAACTATTGGTCATGGTTCTAGTTCTTAGTCCGGGTTCTGGTCATTCATGTTTTGTTCTATTATTATTCTTTCTACAGTACACATATAGTGTTAAGTTTTAAGTACTTCACTTATTTTCAATTTGGGAGAGGGAGACCATTTGTTAGAAGTTTGGAGGTCAGGGAAGAGATTTTTTTTTAGGTGTGCTTTTTTAAGATGGGAAGGACTAGAGCATGCTGAATACAATGGCAAGGAGCAGGAGCATCCACACCAGACAGACAGGATGACCAGGAGAGGCCCTCAAGGATAGGATGGGATCCAAGACGGGGACTAACATCGACCACAGGCAGGAAAGAGCCATGTTCTCTTGGCGCCAGCAGGAAAGGATGGATGTGGAAACAGGTAAGGCGGAGGCCTGCTAGCAGGAAGCTGGGGAACTGACATCTGGTGGGCTCTGCCTCTATGTGGTGGCAGGGAAGGCGGCAGGAGCCCAGACACCAGCCTCTCACCAGCACCGCCTGAGGTGCTGTGGTATGATACCACGCTGCTCTTGGTCCCTGGTTCTAGACACAGAGCTCCTAAAATCCTTGCAATTTCCTGACTGAAAGGTCGGTTGTTATTCACAAGAGTCTCTTTCCATCACCCTTGGGTCTATGCTAATGGGGTGACTTGTGGCACAACCCTAGATAGCTTCTGGATGGAGGCTGGTGGCCAGAAAGACCAAGCCATGATTAGAGGGTTGAGACTTTTAGCCCCATCCCTGACCTCTGGGGAGAAAAGAGGGACTAGAGATTGAGTTCAATCTCCAGTGGCCAATGATGAATCAATCATGCCTACACAATGACACCTCCAGAAATACTCCCAAGGGACAGAGTTCTGAGAACCTCTGGGTTGAGCACGCAGAGGTGCTGGGAGGGAGGTGTGACAGGAGAAGGCACGGAATCTCTGACCCTTCCCCCGTGCTCTGCCTCACGCATCTCTTCCATTGGTTGCTGCTCCTCAGTTGTATCTTTTATAATAAACCAGTAAATGTAAATATCATTTTCTTGAGTTCCAAGAGTCATTCTAGTGAATTATCAAACCTGAAAAAGGGGGTCATGAGAACCTCCAAATTTATCGCCAGTCAGAAGCACAGAGACTTGTGACTAGCAGCTGGAATAGGGGTGGGGACGGTCTAGTGGGACTGAGGCCCCACCCTGGGGTCTGCGTTAGCTCTAGGTAGTGCCAGCATTGAATTGTGGAACACCCAGTTGGAGTCACAGAGTTTGTTGCTGTCAGAAAGGACCTCAGGGGCCATTCCACTGTTTGGGAGTCAGAGATACTCCATTTTCACACTTATTTCTAAGGAAAAAGCTATTTCTGGGTTATGAACTCAGACCCAGATAAACTTCCGGAATGGGACCCCTTACCCTATGACCGTTAAAGGACTCACGGACGGCAGGCGTCCTGGTACTTCACCCCACCCCTCGCCCCAGGTTCACCTGAATTTTGAGCCTGAATTTTCTGATGCCAGAGAAAGCTTTAAGTGTGTTCAGAGCTTGGATTTTGACACTGTTGTCCTTGTCATCCAGCATGGTGCCCACCAGCACGATGTCATCAGTGGTACAAGCAGAGGCCTAGGGGATGTGGGAGAGAGGAAGAGGCAGAAGTGCCTATCCTAGGCCAGGCCCCCCCTTCCCATATCACGAGGATCTCTCAGCACAACCCTCCCGCCAACATCAGCCAGAGAGAAAGGTCTCAGGACACAGCCTGGCCAGCCAAGGGGGCAGGGGGCAGCTGTAGCCCCCAGGGGCCAGGCTGACTAGGCAGGCCCTCCTACTTCCCTTCCCTCACCTCCGCCTCCAGCAAGTACACGCAGCGGGTGATGCTGTGCAGGATCATGCTCTTGGCGTACTCATCCTGTTTGTACTCCAAAGAGTTGAGAAGCCTCCGGAGCTCACCTGAGTCCCGCCCGTGCCGCTCTCGCTCGATTGCCAGGCCTAGAGAGCCAACCCAGCCCCGCTCAGGCTGTGGACTCAGAAGTGATGAAAGAATAGGGTTGGGAAGAGGGGGAGAAGAACCTGGGGACAAAGCTGTCTTGCCTTTTCTGAAGAGGTGTCTCGCCACATGCAGGACCACCATGTCCAGTTGAACAAGGTGTGTTCTGCACAAGGCATCATACCTAATGCTGTATCATTCATATAATGAACATTCGATTTTTAATATTTACTACAACAATTTCCTGGCATATGCACTACAGTATAGTATTTCATCATAATTAGTATATGGCAATGATATTCCAGCAGATGGCAATGAGAAGTCTTACAGAAAGAGTGCTTTTTCAATTCTCACAGTGGCATCCTGGAAGCCAGAGTGAATGTAGATTATGAATGCCTGCCAGATGAGTCCCAGGGGCCCCTGAGGTGCTATCCACTATCCAGGCACCCTGAGCTAGGGTGGGTTTAAGGAAGATGGAAAAGAGAAAAGGGAAGGAGGAACTTGAAGGAGTCACCTTTGGGCTCTCCCATACTGGAGGCCTCGGGAGCAGGTGGCTCTTGGGGCTGAGCCCTCTCCCCAGGGCCCGGACACTCACGGGCGATGCAGATGGGTGAGGCAGTGCAGAGGGGCGGCTGGCATTTTATGCCAGCTCTGATGGCCTTGTAGAGCAGGTAGATGGCCCCAGCACCGGTGGCCAGGCCCACTACACTTTTGCGGATGTCCAGTTGCTCCAGGCACTGCTGGACGCTCTTGCCCATGTCCTCAGTGCTTGCACCCAGATGGGAGCGAGGCCCGAGGCACTGGGTAAGGGCCTTCCGGAACCAGAACTCTGGCGGGGCCAGGAACCAGAGTCCCAGAATCAGAACCCAGGCAACAAAGGAAACGGGAGAAATGGTGGGATAGAGGGTAGTCGGGAAACAGAATAGAAAGAGGTGCTTCAAAGGCAAGTTTAACTTAGAGGCTGTAGGAGATAAAGGTCAAGAGACTTCGGGTCTGAACAGTCTAGGGCAGGAAGTGTCTCCACATCCCCTCTTCTTCAGGGGAGCCAGGGTGGTGGGGCCCCCGCGGGTGGCTCTGGAGGCTGCCCTTCTTCCATTAGAGGGCAGCAGAGGCCCAATTTCTGGGCTGGGCCTTTGGAAGTTTCTGAGAGGGGTGTTTGGGATGTGCCCACTGGCAACCCCAGTTCCCTCACTTCCCTGCCCCTCCTGTCTTCGTTCTCTTCACCACAGATCCACTGCGGAGCCTCAGGTGCTTCTGCAGGTAGGGTCCCCCTGAGAAGAGGGACACACCTTATAAAGTTCTGCAGCGTCTTGAGGCAAACCCATCATCTTCCAGCATCTGCATGTCCTCCTATGACGTGTATTTATTTACGATAAATAAATATACCTAAGTGACCAAAAACTCTCAAGGGCAGTTGTCTGCACTCTAACATCCAGCACAATCCTGCACTTAGCAGGTGCTCAGGTCATGACTTCTGTTGTTCTTTGAGGACTTAAAAGCAGAACAGTGACAGAGAATTTAACCCCCAGGCCCATTTAACCAGTGTGACCTCAAAGGAGGAAGGAACTGCCTTTGCCTGGGTCTCAGTTTCTGCATTTGTAACCTGAGGAGATCCAGACCTACCATTCTGAAACCCCAAGGTTAAAATTTGAGTAGGTCTGTGCCTTTAAACCATGGGGGCCTAACTTTGTGAGTCCCATGTTCCAAACCCCCTGCCCCAATCCACCCCTACTACTACCACCACAGAGCAGGAAGAGGCTTGAGGCCTCCTCTGGACTCAGAAGATGCCACCAACCTGGAAGATGAGAGCCAACCTTGGGAGGCCTTGATCTTCCCCACTAGGATGGGGCAGGTGAGACCAGACCCTTCTCTCCTCCTCCTTCACCCCATGTCCCCACATCTGCTGACTTCACCTTCCAGTACAGAACCAGGTGACAGGCCCCAAGCCAGGCTCATGCCCAGAGCCAGCACTGAGCATGGCTGTACCAGAACAGGCTTCACCTGCCTGGCTGTGAGCTCCTGTTGGAAGGCTCTGGGTCCTGGGCCACCCCAGGCCTTGAAGGACGTGAAGAAATAGGAAAATAGCCTCCGCAAGGATGATGCAGCCAGCCAGGCTGGTCCACCCAGAGCCTTCGCCATCATACCCAGCTGCATGCAACTCTTACATAGCCATTCTCTTCTTTGTTCTCCGCCATCCTTGGTCCACCTCGAGTCACTCCTACTGCTCCATGCAGCCCCACGTAGCCTACCTCTACATGGGCTCCCTGCACGGAAAAGAAGCCCCTGCAGGCCTCCTTGAGGCCATAGGACCAACTATCACCACCCACAAACTCCAGGAAGGGAATGCCTGCCTGATGAGCACTGTTTTTGGTTACCTACCCTGGTAGATCTGTGAATAGATCTTTCAGAACAAGATCCCTGCCCTTTTCTGAGGTGTGACCCAGAGCTACTGGTCTCACCAATCCATGGAATTGATTCTGTAACACTCACATCCTAAGCAAACATGGTGCCCATGTGTTCTTTAAAGGCCTCCAAAGGAGATCTCTTTCTTCGCTCTATCCAGCTCCTTCTTGCTACACCTACAGCTCATGTTTGGTTCTGTCCTCAAACGAGTCAAAGGGATTAGAGGCAGTGGCATCCCCATTGTGCTTTTCACTGGCCCACAGCACAACAGACAGAGGAATGTCTATTTGCTGCTGTAAAGTCCATAGCTGTTCTTTCTTGGGAATGATGGCTTTTTTATGATACAGCTACACTGGAAGATAGTTTGGCAGTTGGTTTTTTGGGGTTTTTTTTTTTAGATTTTTATTTATTTATTTTTAGAGAGAGAGGAAGAGAAGGAGAAAGAGAGGGAGAGAAATATCAGTGTGTGGTTGCCTCTCACACTCTCCCTACTGGGAACCTGACCTGCAACCCAGGCATGTGCCCTGACTGGGAATTGAACCGGTGACCTCTTGGTTCGCAGCCCACACTCAATCCACTGAGCCACACTAGCCAGGGTGGAATGATGGCTTTTGATTCAGATGATGTCTTTCTTAGTTTGAGAAGAATTAAAATATACTTGCTTTTTAAAAATTATGGTAATAGATGGTAGTTATGTTTTGAATGTCCTTAGAGAGCATAAATGAAAGCTGCAACTCTTTGTGGAAACTTGGCTTTTGTTTTCTTATTTTGGCTTTTCTGTCAAATCCAGAAATCTGAAACCATTGGCAAAAGAGAATTCTGAGATTCCACATACATACAGCCAGCCCCCAAGTTCCCTACCTACATTCACGAAGGCAAAAGGGCATGGGCTACCCTAGCATAGCCTCTGTGCCATTTGCACTAGCTTTCTACCTTCATGGCTGATGTTTGATCGTGTTTAGTTAGTTAGGTGCAGTTTAATTCTGTGAGAACGTGGACTCCAGCCAGACTGCCAGGCTCAAAACCAGCTCCATTACTGACTTAGCTTTGTGATTTCTTCATGCTGCATTTCCCTCACCGGTAAAATGGGAATAATAATACCTACTTCTGTACCTACCTGGGAGGTTGTTTGTGGGGAATAAGTATTTCGAACAGTGCCCAGAGCTCACCAAACATTGACTGTGATGATAATTACTATTATAATCAGGTTTGACCTGTTCAAAAACGTTGGGCGTGGGAAGGCTGTGAGCACATGGCCCTCAGTGAGGACTGAAAGGCCCATCATTCAGCCCCTTCCACTTACCCTCTCGCCCTGGTCTTCTTCAGGCTAATTACTCTCAACTCCTGTAACCCATTTCACCTCCTGCTTTGAACAATTTCGGGTTAGAGAAATTTAAGAAACCTAATGCAGTGCGGGGGGCCTATGGTGCAAGACAATTCTAGGTCACTAAGGAGGGTGACTCTGGAGAGGCCCAATGCCTCTTTGTACAGAAGCTAAGGGAAAATTAGATTAATGCAAAGCCTTTGGAGTCAGACCGGCTTGAGTCTGGGCAAATTCCACAATCGGAGACTCAATTTCCTCCTCGGGAACACGGGTCTATTAATACCTACCACTACCGGGAAGTGCCGTAGTCGGGAATGAATGTGTTCTCACTCGGTGCACAGAAGACGCTCAACTTCCGCGAGCTTCCCCGCAGAAAGCCAGAAGCGGAGAGATGAAAGGATGGGGGGCCGTGCGTCGCCGCGGGCCCCTCACTCTCCGAGTCCGTCCCCTCCCCAGCTAACGCTTATCCCCGCCCAGGAGCCCGACACTGAGGCCTCTCAGTGGCTCGTTACTGCCGCGAAGGCCTAGCGATCCGGGGAAACGCGGAGGAGGCGCGGGGAGCGGAGGGGCGGCGCCCTCAGAGGAGCAGGAGGACTGGGCGGGGGTGGAGGCCGCGCCGTTCCCGGCCCGGGGCCTCCCTCTCGCCCTCTCTCCCCGTCCACCGTCCCCCCTCCCGCGCGCATCCGGCGGCGGGCACAGGATGTTCTTTCGCGCTGGTTCCCCACACCACCCCTCCCCCGCGCCCCCGCTCTCACTTTCCCTTCGCTCTCCTCCCCCACTCCCGCCGCCGCCGGCACCTTGTTTAACTCTTTCCCGCGCTCCTCGGCGCGCAGCCGCTCCTGGGGGCACACCCTTCCTGCCTATCCCCCAGGAGCCCGAGGTCTGCCCGGACCAGGGTGGCCCTGGGCTGAGCGCTGGGCTCCAGTTCTGGGTGTTCACTGGCTGGTTGGGGGTGAAGGGATGGAGAGGGCTCCCCGGGCCTGAAGGCGACAAGCTCCTGGCCCCCTCTAGTTCAGCGCTGCGGAGGGGCCAGGGGTAGGAACCCGCACTCCAGGGAGCCACGTGCTCCAGCGGGGCGGCCAGGTGGGCGTAGTTAGCTGTAGGCCGGGGCAGGCGAGAAGGTGGAAGACACCAACCTCAACCTTTTCCCCCGGTTGGGATAAGGGGCCCCAGGCTCCCGCAGAGGATGGAGAGATGAGACGCCCCTCACGGATACGTCACTGTTGTCAAGGCAACCGGGGGGAGGCGGGGCGGAGCGGCTGGAGAAGGCGAGAGACCTTTGAGAAAGTAGGCTGCCAGAGGCCTTGGGACTGGGGTGGGACTAGGAAGAGGCGGGGGCGGGCTTTTCAATCTCTTTTTATTCACTCGCTGTTTCATTCAACAAACGTTCATTGAAGTTCAACTAGGCTTGGTGCCACGCTTAGGCACTGGGTGACTGCATCGCTCCGTCCAAACCCTGCCCTCCTGGTTATTGAGTTTGTAGGGTAAGGTAGTCACAAGTCCCGGGGTTACGTCTGTAGTACTGATGCAATTAATAATGTCCGTTTTTGTGCTTAAAAGTGTTTCAGTGTGTGTGTGTGGCGGGGCGGGGGGGGTGGTCCTGTTAGTTAAGGAACCTTATCCCTGAATTCAGGGAAGTCTCCAACCGTACAGTAATGGCAAGACAAGCTATTGTCTTCTCACTATGCAACAGACACTTTCTTGGCACATGGTAGTCTCTGTAATCTTTGCCCCTCGTTCTGCAAATATCACTAGTGCCTTTTACAGATGAAGGAACTGGCTCAGAGAGGTTAAGAGACTTGCCCAAAGCCAAACAGCTAAGTGTTGGAACCAGGATACAGACCCAAGTTTATATGGCCTCCAAAGCCTGAGTGCCCCATCTCAAAATAGATGCTTCCTTCTAAAAAATAGTGCTTCCTTCTCAAAAATAGTGCTTCCTTCTCAAAACAGATTTTAAATAAAGAAACTGTCCCTGCCATAAAGGAGTTTATAATGTATGGGACTGAAAGTACTACAGATTATAACTAAACAATGAAATATAGAACA